CGGTGGCGCAGCGGTTGAGCGCTGGGTTGCGAAGCTGCCCGCGGCCTCTGCTGCGCCAGTTCGATCCCCGGCTGCTCCCCGGCCACTGGAGGAGGGTCCCACATGGCGCGCAGACCTCTCCTGCCGCCCGCTGCTCCCCTCAGCAGTGTACTTCGGTCCTTCTGCCTGCTCTGCTCCCCGCCCTGGCTCTGGTGAATTCTCTAACCCTCCCGCGCTTCTGACTGTACCCAGTGCATGTACAAACAAACAAATAAATAAATAAATAATACATGCCTCTTAAAAAAAAGAGGATCCAGAGGGCCAATAGACATATGAAAAGTTCACTAATGTTCATCAATGCTTTTAATAAGAGATGCAGTTTAAAACCTGCAAAAACAATGAAATACCATCTCATACCTGTGAAAACATTACATATTAAAAAGACCTCCAATAACAAATGTTTGAGAGGATACAGAAAAAAAGGAACCTATTACACTGTTTGGGGAAATGTGAACTGGTACAACCAGTATGGAAAGCAATCTGAATTTACCTTAAACTAAAAAAAAAAAAATCCAGCAGTTCCACTCAGGGTTATACCTAAAGAATAGCAGCATTGTTTACAATAGCTGAGACTTGGAACCTAGATGTTCATCAACAACCTAAATGTTCATCAATGGATGACTGTAAAGATTTGTTCTTTCTAGGACAACTACCATGGGGATTGGGAGCCAATTGGATTTCTCTCAAATACTGGCAAGTGCCATTTTTTTTTTTTTTTCATAATCCCTCTCATCATCAAAATGGAGTAGCATGAATCACTAATAGTGATTATAAAAGTATCTGCTTGTCTTGTACCTCAAATTCATACAGAAAACATTAAATCTCTGCCATATTTTCTGAAATTATTCCCCCTGCTTTACAAGCATTTTCTTTACCTATTTTTCTATTATATACTTTTCAGAATATGTACACTGCCACAAATTGTTAAATATGGAAGAGTTTCACATGCTGTAGAAACCAAAGAAATGAATTTTTGCTTTTGTGCATTATTTATATAATGCATATTTAAAAAATTAAACAGGGCAATTTTTAAAATGAACTCACTTGATATTGGGTTAAACGCATATTCCCTTCTGGAATTCTATCATAAGGTTGAGCAGTAAAAGAATAGCAACAAATGTCTGTGCCACTAGGTATGGTGGAAAACAAACTAGCCTTGCATGACTCTGGGCAGAATAAAGTACCCACAGGAATGGGCATGCACCTATTGTAAACTATGATTTCAAATACTTATTTTTAAGCAAAAATGGATGAAAAATAGTCAGAATGAAGAATTACAAAATTGGGCCTTCACACTTAAGTAATTCTATTTTCCTTTGTATAGACTTGTTTTTATATTATCAAGTTTTTTTAATGCAGTGATTAACACTAAAAACGAAAAATACATTGGTTATACCAGTATCTAATGATTCTTCCCCCATCCTCTTGTGAACTCTCTCCCAGTGTCTCCCTTGGAGTACTTAAATGCCTCAGGCCTATGGGGAAGACAGAGACCTGGAGACAGTCAAGGGTCCCAACAGGAGGGGAGAAATTAATCTGTTTTTTAGTCCTGGGAGGTGGAGGCAGATGAGGGGTGAAGACTGCTCAAAGGGGCAGTATCTGAAGGTCCAGAGGGAAGAGCACCAGTTGCTCTGTGCAACCCTTGGGAAATACCTGGCTATTTTCAGCATCTGGATAAAGCAGGGACACAGAGATTAGTGAAGAGACCAGGGGCAAGCCCTTCCCTTGACTGAACAAAATTCATCCAAGCATCCAGACTGTACAAAACGGAGCTTGAATTCTGTGGACAGCATCCCCAGTGGGTGAGTACCTTCTAGAGAGCGGTCCACTGGAAACAGACGCGGAGTTTCAGAAATTACCTTTGCCTTTTGATTCAATCAGGACATGTCTTTTTCCAGATCTAGTAAAAAGTAAAAATGTCAAATAAAAATTGGCCTGGGCAATAAGTAAAGGAAGAGGAGAAAGCCCAAGGTAAAAGACTTGCCTAGTATTCTCCAGCAGAACATGACAGTAAAAGATTGGACTGTCCCAGGCTGATTGGGTCTCTTGTCTTTAACTCCACCATCTGGCAACCTTCTCTCCTGACCTGATCCTTACACCACTAGCAGTTCTTCTAATTGAGCAAGATTTTTAAAATGCTACGCATAGTCAGGAAAGAAGAATGTGGAATTACCACGGCCACACGTAAATAACATGGTATGGATGGAGGGAATGAACCAAAGGGGAACAGTGTATTCCAGCGGCCAGGCTTCCTAATGTTTGAACTTCTATGTGCAACACACTTACAAATGTGTCACTGAATGCATGAAGCAAGAGGTAGCCAATACTCTATGTCACAGATTGGGAAGTAGAATAGAAAACAAGGCAGAAAAATTAGTTGCTAAGTCAGAGTCACCAACAGTTAGTATTTGAACCTAAATCTGCTTGCTTCTAATCATGCTTATTTCACATTAACAAAACCCCTTTCAGAAACTTCAGACCCATCAGAATGCCTCTCCCAGGACTTGAGGGCATGTCACCAATGTCCAGGTGGGGATACCTTTATGTGAGATTACACAAAATATTTCTCTGGAATGTTCTAGGAAAAGGGACACAAGTTTAGATGTCACAACCTCATTCAAATCACTCAAGATGGCAATTGTTGCTATTTTTATACAGACATCCACATTCTCTAATATAAAAACCTGGTCACAATATCAATGACGAAACTGGGTCTAGCATAAATCAAAGTTAGAAATCTGGGTTTAAATCCATCCTATCAATATTGGCTTCTTTTGTGATAAGTAGCCACTACCTTTACTTAACCTGACACTAAATAATTACTCCCCTTTCTGCTTTAGGTCAGTGGTCATCACAGTAATTTTAAAGAACACATCAGACATTCTCCCTGTTATGAGATAAAATTGCATATTGACTAGCATTCCCCTTAAATCCCTGTTCGATCTGAAACTCCTGGGTTTTTTTTTTTTTGAGGCATCCTCAAAGATGAACTATGTAATTACTTGCAGAACATAAACTTCTGATCTGCTGCCCACAGTAAACAGAATTCAGAAAAAGGAAATTATTTCCATGTGCCAAAAGCCTCACACTTGTTTCACTTGTTCTTTATACTTTATCCTTTGGAATTGATATTATTCCTATTCATTTGAAAAAGACTTGGACAAATTGCTTCAACACTTGAGTCTAAAACTCTAGACAGGGGATTCTGGTTTGTTACCTGGGTTGCTACCACAGGGCTACTTCCCAGGCTGAACTTTCCCTTCCCAATCTGATAGAGCCACAGAACCTTCCATCTGACCACTGAGGAAGTAACTTTAAGTGCTATCACTTATTGATATATAAGCACCCAATTCACAGAACTGCCAAAGTGAGAGTTCATGTACAGAACATTTGTGAATTATTGTAAAGTTCACAAAACTTTTTTCAGCACCCAATATCTGAAAGTAATCAGCAGACTCATAAAACCTTAAAAGTTAACTGTCAGAACCTACATTAGGAATCCTTAAGTTAAGAAAGGTGCATTTCTCATACATATTTGTTATGGAAATATAGCTGCTATTCATATTTTAGATGAGAATATTTGAACTGTACATGGACTTGTGTGAGACAAGTGGTTGAAACTTAGTGACTGCTTGCCCAACCACTCTGTTAAGACTAGAGATACCAAAGGATGCTTTGTAGAAGAGAGATAATCTGGATGGACCTTGAACAATAGGGGAAATTTGCCCAGGTAAAAATGGGGAAGGTGGTTCAGCAAAAACACATCTATGTGAATAAATTCACTATGATGAATGTGCAAAGTCTAAGACTTGCTGATGTGCTGAGAAACTGATGGAAAATCTGAAGGCCCAAGGCAGGGCAGGACGCAAATTAGACCCTGTCCACTCAGGTGCTATGTCTGAGGATGTGAAACATCCTTCCTGCTCAAAGAATAGAAGCCAAGGATGATGTAGGCAGTAAAGGGTCGTGTTGACTATTTTGTCCGTCTGCTCTTTTTAATCGCTATCATCAAATAATGAACAAAAAACCCATGAGATTTGCTCATAGATTCCCCTCTTCTATTTCCTATCTCAAATCATAGGTAGTGTCCAGATTCTCAAAAGTTTAATACTCTAGCCTTACAGTAAACTTCTCTTGAGGAAAATTTACCTACTCTTCATCATGAAATTAGGTAACCTTAACTAAGATCTTTTTCTTTGAGAAATGATGTGCTATGAGGTTCTTCAAAGATTTTTATAATGACAACAGTAGCATATCTGACTCCAGACCAAAACTTTGTCAAATCTAAGTGACTTCTTCAATCTACCCAAACCAGTGATAGTAAATTATACCCTCACTTACTGCAGTGATGTAAGCACTATACCAAGTAATGTCTAGCTCTAACATTATAAACATAAGTCTAATTTATTGAGTGGGTATGCTAAGACTGAACCAATGCTTTATTTCTTTAAAAAAAAAAACATACTGCTTCCAACTTTTCATTAGCATAAAATCAGCAGTTGTAGATAAATAACCGTCAGTGTTACTGATGTCGTTGGTGTGGCTAGTAGTGATGAGGGAAGCATATGCATGCACTGGGCTAAACACATTATTACATGGATTTGCATCTAATTGTTGCCCGTAGAACTTTTTTGCATTTTCCATTTCTTTTGGCAACACTTTCCAAAGTAAAATTTACTGGGTCAAAGGAGATGAACAATTTTTGGGTCTTCTATAGTGACGCATGGCATTTTCGCAGTAGAAAGCATGAGGATGCCAGTTTCTACATTTACCAAGGGTATTTTCATGTATAATTTCTTTTACAAAATACATAACATCAGTTTTCTAGGTCTTCAGATTTCCACCAGTTACCCAGGATGGAAGTAAGAAACTAGCAGTCCAATTTCCAGAAGAATGTCTTTTAAAGGAGTAAAAATCAAAAACTAAGAGTCCTGTCCTCTGGATAATCAACACCTTCAAACATGTTCGTGTCTAACAATGCCTGCTCAGTGCCTACTTCTTTCTGGCTCACCGGCATCCCAGGGCTGGAGTCCCTACATATCTGGCTCTCCATACCCTTCAGCTCCATGTATCTGGTGGCTGTCGTGGGGAATGTGACCATCCTGGCTGTGATAAAGGTGGAGCGTAGCCTGCACCAGCCCATGTACTTCTTCTTGTGCATGTTGGCCATCATTGACTTGATCCTGTCAACCTCTACCATGCCCAAACTGCTAGCCATCTTCTGGTTTAGTGCCCACAGCATTGACTTCAATGCCTGCTTGGCCCAAATGTTCTTCATCCATTGTTTTGCTACGGTTGAGTCAGGCATCTTCCTTGCCATGGCTTTTGATCGCTATGTGGCCATCTGTGACCCACTTCGCCATACCACAGTGCTAACCAGTGCAGTGGTGGGTCATTTGGGCCTGGCTGCTCTCCTTCGGGGCGTGCTCTACATTGGCCCCCTGCCCCTGATGATTCGCCTGAGACTGCCCCTTTACCGGACCCAAATCATTGCCCACTCTTACTGTGAGCACATGGCTGTGGTCACCTTGGCCTGTGGTAACACAACAGTCAACAACTTCTATGGAATGGGAATTGGCTTCCTGGTATTGATACTGGATTCATTAGCCATCGCTGCCTCCTATGTGATGATTTTCAGAGCTGTGATGGGGTTGGCCACCCCTGAAGCCAGGCTTAAAACCCTGGGGACGTGCGGTTCTCACATTTGTGCCATCCTTGTCTTCTATATCCCCATTGCTGTCTCCTCTCTCACTCACCGCTTTGGCCATCATGTGCCTCCTCATATCCATATCCTTTTAGCCAATTTTTATCTCCTCATCCCACCTATCCTCAACCCAGTTGTCTATGCTGTCCGCACAAAACAGATTAGAGAGAGACTTCTCCGCATTCTTAAGTCAGGGTCTCAACCCAAGTGACTGTTCTGCATCTGGAGAACATATGGGTATTTGGTGATGGCAACAGACTGGGGAAGTCAATGCAATAAGGCCGTGTAATGGGTCTTCAGTTGTGGAAGGAATACCAGAGAATATTCTACTTGACCATAAACTTTCTGAAAGTGGAAAGGGTAAATCGGGGCTTGAGTTTATATACTAAAATGCCCTGAATTTTATGAAGTCAAGAAAATGGATAATAGGCACAAGCATGCTGACCGCAGAAGTGAGCTCATTTTATTGGACTTTTTTGAAGGAATTCCAGCTTCTCTTTGGAGCATATTTCTACAAGGTAAAATTATATTCTAACACCTTCTTGAAGACAATTTAAAAATCCTGTCAGTAAGGGTCTAGAAAAATTCAACTGCTTTGGAAATCCTCTCCATTCCTTTTGACTTGCCCCAGAAAAGTCCTTTTGTTGAGAATGAAAGCAATACAAAGGAGAATCTGTCTAATGCAAATTTACTACCCACAGGAATGAAAGTTCTCAAGTTAATTATTCCTTTATTTAAACAAACAAATGGAGTATCCTACATCTCCTCCGATAATAGTGAGAAATGGGAAGGAGGAAACAGGGAAGATTAAGATACAGTATTCCATTTTAGAGATGGCATATATGAAGGACAGCAGTCACACTGGAATAATAAAGTGGCAGAAGGAAGAAGGTAACAATGAGGTTATTGACATGAAAGGTTACATAATGAATGGGGTAAGGAGGATCCAAGTAAATAGAGGCCCCATGACAGAAACCTTGAAATTTCAGATGTTTAGAGAATTCTTGTTCATGCTCTTTATTTTATAATTTGATGCTTTTTGCTATAACTTGACCTTTACTACATTTTTTTTTTTTTTGGCTTGGCCACTCCACTCAGGAGTGGAGGTAGTGATGTAACAACTCAGAATAGGATTTATATCACAGAGGGTTGGCAGTGAGGTTCTCTGTATTACTGATCATCATTGCCCCATCAATGCTGGGAAATGCCCACATGTTCATCTCTACCCTGAATCTCCCTGCAGAAATTCAGGTTCACTCTGGCTCTAGAGGACACACCTCCCAGCCAGACCTGTCAACTTCCCGCCAACACTGACTCCAGGTATCTCAATGCCTGAGCTCTGATGCTTGCTTCCAATCATGTTAAGTCAGTGCCGGAGAGCAGTCTGTGTTACAGGATGCACGAGTCCTAGACGTCACCTTGTATGTGCTCAGGAGAAATACTTTCAAACTCGCAATTGCAGGAGAAAAAAAATGGGCTACCAGTAACAAAACATCCCCACACTCTGGACAAAGGCTGGGGCTCACCAAGATGGACCTGGGCTGTCTGAGTTCCTCAGAACCTCCAACAGCTCAGCACAAATCAGAAAACGTCCCAGTCCCAAGACAAAATTCCCCTGGAGCATTTTTTTTATTTTATTTTATATAATTCTTACATCATTTTTCATTTTTGCAAAATGTATGCATTTTCATTTTGGTTATATTCCCCATACAATTCCCACCCACCCCCCCTTATTTTGATCCTAATCCCTCCTCTTCTCCTTCCTCTCCCCCAGGTGTGTGTCTTTGGTCTGCAGTTGCTTGTTTTTGATTTGGGCCCTGAGGAAACAAACTGCTCCAGGCTTAACAGGGATCTGCCAGTGGTTGGTGCAGCACTACTCAAGCAGTCCCTGTGGAAATTGAGGATCCAGAGCCAGAGCTCAGGGAAGGCAGCAATGCCTCCAGGCAGGAGTCCACACACACTACAGCTGGCAAGTGGCTGCACAGCAGATCTTGGAAGGGCTCACCGAAGTTTGGGCTGGGGTGGGCCTCGCAGACACAGCTCCTGCAACTGAGTGATGTTTGGCCACTGAAATATGTGTCATGTCAAATTCAGGAATGTTAAAATTTGGACCACTTCATGAATTTGAGAGTCATCCCTGCACAAGGGCCTTGCTAGTCTTCTCTGTATCATTCCAATTTTAGTATATGTACTGCTGAGGCAAGCACTATCCTGTTTCTCACTGATTGATCGTAGAGGTCCAAAAGACATCACTTCAGGTCAGACACCTACAAAAATTCCCAAAACCGATTAAAGCATTCAGTGATCCAGAATTATGCTTTCTCCATTTTGATACTAAAATGTTTCATATTTTAAATCAAATTTGTTTACAAATCATTATAAAATCAGAGTGAAAGAGAACTGGCCTTAGGTTAAAAAAAGTTAATAGTGTTTTGAAAAAATACTCTAAAGAAAGCAATAACTAAGCTGGGATTAAATTTCAAACCTCATATCGCAAGAAAAGAAAATGAAGACTATCACAAACTCCTTGCTAAGGTTTAACCTTAACTCCTACCTTAAACACCTATCTACTACCAAATTTGTTTCCTCAGAATCCTATACCTAACCGTAGGATTAACTTATCAAGGACCCTGGAGTCCAGTGCCAAATTCAAGTGCACCATTGGGAAAAGATTGTTCTGTGAACATATCTTAGTGCCAGATGTAATCTACCAACTGATTTTTTTAAGAGTCAAGAAAAATATACTCGAGAAACCTCCCAGCTAGTTCATTTGTCAAGTCATCTCTTAACCATATCCTCACTTGCACCTCACTTGTGAATGTACCAGTCTCATCTCTAGAAACCCTCTGTTCTCTGCTTCTGTTCAGTCATACCAACACCCAACTTTCCCATTCTTGGCTGCCCTACACTTTCATGTACACCTGCCTCTTTCAGCTCAAGTGACACCTGCTAACTAGTCTGTGGTGGAAAAAGCTAAATATTCTAAATGTTTCTTTGAATAACATGGAAAAATAGTCATATATATGCAAAAATATAGTTGGCCATCCTTGTGCAAAAAGTAATTTGCTTCAAGTTTTCTCTGCATCATGAAGGAATAAAAATAAAATGAAATTGATTTATAAAAGCTAGCACTTCCAGCCAAATCCAATCAGCTTTAATGATTTCTCAGTCTATTTGAATTTATAATTTAGTCTGCTATGGGTTTCAAAACTCCTCCAGTTTTTCTATCACTCTCTTCCTTGTGTTAGATTTAAAAATGCAATAGGGGATGGGTAGGTTCTTACAAAATTGCCACCAGGGCAGTCATGTAAGACACCCTAGTTCCTTATTCCTTGGCCTGCCTTTGACCCCAGATACACCTGTGCTATGAGGCAGGGCCTACACATTCTGACCTGTGGGAATGGGCTTCAGCCTACTATGCTCTCCGGTCCTCTGTGAATGTAATGGTGGGACACAGGCAGACACTATAGACTGAGGCTACTTCTTCCCTTTTTCATCCAAGAATTCTCTCTACACAGGCAGGTGAAAGTTTTTCACTTTTTTTGAACTTAAATATTTCTTATTAGCCAAATGAGTCAGTTCTGTTTGGATGCACTTAACCTTAGACAAAGGCAAGAAGCAAGAAGGAAAAACTAATTTGTCAAGTTGCCAACCAACTTCCTGAACAAAGTGAATATCAAGTGTATCCCTGGGAATGAGAACAAAATATTTTCATGCATGTTGTGTTTTCATGACCCGAAGAGTTGGGAGAGGCTGGAGGCCAACAACCTCAAAAACAATGGTGATCGCTTAATTCTTTTAACGACTTATTTTGAACTTATGGGTATGTTGTGAAAACATCCCAGGCTGGGAAGGTTCACGGTTGATTTAAGCAAATGGAAAAAGAATCTTGGAGCCATAGGTATATCTGGCATGCCTTTATTGCAGAAGAAGCAGACCAGACACACAGGCAGACCAGCAGGCAGAGAGGCAGGGAGCAACTGAGCCTCCTAGTCCCCACAATCTCTGGCCCAGTGTCCGTACATATATGTACATGTGCCCCACACTCATGCTCTTAAGCACTTTTTGCAATAATATGATCTCATGTGGGTAATGAAACCTGGGAGGAAAACAAAGCTGCAGGTGGTGGCCAGGGAAGCTCGTGGGGAGATAAAAAAGAACCTGAGTTACCCCACACTATTTGCAGGGTACATATAACCAACATCAATTTGTTATTGCCAGATACTAACCTTTATATAGGTTAGCTCATTAGATAGGTTAACTCATTAAATCTCAAACCTTGTGAGATGATAGTCCCATTTTGCAAGTGAGACAACTTGCTTTGGTGATGTTGTTTAACTTCGTGAAAAGCTCATTGGTTCTATTCTTCAGAAGTCACACTGTCACTGTACTATTGCTCCCTCTATTGATCCATTTCTATTAAAGTGAACTAAGAAGGATCAGTCAACTAAATTGATTTTTTTTTTTTTAAACCAGAGATCTGGTCCCACTGGCTGCTGTAACTTAGGGCAAGTTTCTTAAAGTAGATCAGTCTCTCACTGTCATCTATTTCTAGATCAGGGTTGATTCATGATTCGAAATAATATTATATAATGGGGGGTGGGGAATGATAGTTGGGTAGGTCTATTTTCAATTGCTCTTATCTTAATTTTGTTTTAAGGCTTCTAGGTACAAATGGAGAAACTACTGGTACAGATATTTCTTCCTTAGCTTCAGGCACACCCTTTGCTAAGTGCCTCATCATCTTTAAGGCCCTTTCTTAGTGAACAATATAACCTTACACAAGAGATTTTCGTGTATGACTTCCTATAGAAAAGCAAATAAAAATACTCTTTCTAGCCTTCCTTTTTTTAAAAGACTTATTTATTTATGCATACAAGAGCTGGGGTACAGGCCAGAGGTGCGGGGAGTGAGAGGATTCACCAGAGACAGAGTGGGGAGCAGAACAGGCAGATTGACCGAATAGCAGACTGCTCCCCTCAGCAGTGTACTTCAGTCAATTTGCCTGTTCTGTTCCCCACTCTGTCTCTGGTGAATCCTCTCACTCCCCGCACCTCTGGCCTGTACCCCAGCTCTTGTATGCATAAATAAATCTTTTTTTAAAAGGGCTAGAAAGAATTTTTACTTTTCTATAGTCGGGAAATTTTTTCAAGGGTTTTTTTTTTTTTTTCCTTTTGAGGTAACATTGATTTACAACACTGTATTCAGGGGTAGAGGTTCATACCTCTGCAGATAGTTGCTACACTACACCTGCCACAAGCTACCTATAATCCTCCATCAGAGTCCATTGGGCCCCCATAATCCTTTACTTTCCATTTCACCCTCTCTGGTAGCCCTGATTCTCAGATTCTAGGGTTTATTTTGGTTTAATTTTGTCATTGTTTTCTCTATATTCCACATGAGTGAAATCATCCAGTATTTGTCCTCCTAAATTATTTCACTTAGCATAACTCTCCCCCTCTTCATCCACCTTGTTGCAAATGGAAAGATTCCATTCTTTGGTTTATAATAAAAATGATGAAGATATATGTCAACCTAATTGTTGAAAGTGGAAATAACTAGATAATGATCTTCAACTCATCTTTTTTTTAATTTAAAACAAAACAAATGACAAACTCAAATGCATCTGTACATTATATAGCTTAATCAATGTTTTGTAGAAACAGGACAGGAAGCAGACCCCATAATTCCTTTGTTTTTCTAGATCGGATTCAAGATCGGATGCTTGGTCAACACTTTTAAAAGTTAACATTCTGATTTGCAACAGATCTACTAAAAGTTTTGTCGCAACATTGATACTCTATAATATTGTGATTGAATTAGTAAATAAAATGAGGAATTTACATTCTTGGTGAAAACATAAGATGCAATTCTTTCTATGCACATAAATATGAGGTCTAAGGAAATGTCAGCAGACATGTCTAAGTCAAGATTTTAATGGAGAGATTGAAAATGAGGAATGCAGAGATCAAAAGAAGACAAAGGTGTACATGTTGACTCAGTGGAAGGAATAATTTTTTAACAAAGTTGTCTTATTTGATACCTGTAGCACTGGAAGATTATGAGCTACCCCAAATTGGTAGTGTTTAGTCAGAGACTGGACACCAACTGCAGTCTAAAGAGGCATTTCTACCTCAGATGAAATCTTGGTCCAATTCCTGAGAAGATGGTTCATCAAATCCTGACGACTTAGGAGATAAACTCGGGTTCACATGTTTTCTCTTCGTAAATGAACTTAAATATCTTCGTCTTTAAGTGAGGTTTCCAAATGAGAGTAAGTTTTTTGAGAAGACAGCAAAGTCAGAAGATTCTTTTGAGTCCAAAAGATTCAGACCCTTGAGTCCTTACTGTACTGATTACTTCATAAGTTAGGATATCATTTAGTCTTTTCATTTTACCAGGAAAGAAAGTTTCCTAAACATGGAAGCTCTGGCAATGATCCACTTTCCATCATTCCCACTTGCACATTCCATCATTCAACCTGTCTCACTCTCATCCTTTATTTTCCCTTTATACATCCTTTCTCAGAAATAGTCCTAAGATTCGCTCACGAATCTGCTTGGTCTTGACACCATAGATGATAGGATTGATCATGGGAGGGAAGAGCAGATAGAAATTGGCAAGGAGAATGTGGACATGTGGAGCAGCCCGGCGAGCGACACGGTGCATGACTGAAGAAATGACGACTGGTGTGTAGAAGGCTAAGATGGCACCTATGTGAGACACGCAGGTCCCAAAAGCCTTATAGCGGGCCTCCTGAGAGGCAAGTTGTAGAACTGCTTGAAGGATGAAGATATAAGATAGCACAACAAAAAAAAGGTCCAAAACCACTATAAACATTGCCACAGCAATACCATAGATATTGTTGAAGCGAGTGTCCCCACAGGCCAGTCTTACCACAGCCATGTGCTCACAGTAGCAATGGGCAATCACAGGGCCTCGGCAGTAGTGGAAGTGTCTGAGCAGAAAGGGAAGTGGAGTCATAAGTGCCACAGCACGAGTCACAGCCACCAAGCCAATCTTGGTGATAAGGGGCCCGGTCAGGATAGTGGTGTAGTGCAATGGCTTGCAAATGGCCACATAGCGGTCAAAGGCCATGGCCAGCAGCACTGCTGACTCCATAATAGAGAAAGAATGGAGAAAGAACATCTGGACCAGACAGGCATAGAAATTGATCTCCCGGTCCTTGAACCAGAATATGGCAAGCATTTTGGGCAATGTGGAAGAGGAAAGGACAAGATCAATCGCTGCTAACATGGCCAGAAATATGTACATAGGCTCATGGAGGGCTGCATCAGCCTGAATGATGAAGAGGAGGGTGCAGTTTCCAAGCAGGGCCAGCATATAGGCTGAGCAGAAGGGAATGGATATCCACATATGGAGATGTTCCAGGCCTGGGATCCCCGTTAACAAGAAGGCAGTTGGATGAGTTGAGGTGATATTGGAAGATGACATGGCCACGGGATACTCCATTTAGTCTGTTTCCACGGGGCCTTCCAGAGCATCCAGTATTGGCAGGATTAGTGTTTACTTTTCCAACTGTGATTATTCATATGGGAAGATTAACCCTTGATCACATTTCTATACCTTAATGGAAATTAGAATTAATCCTAATATACACTATGGAACATTGTACATCGTCTTTGCCCTCGAGGTGCTTATTAGGTCACTGGGTGATCGGGACATTAAATACCAACAGCAGTATTACAAGGCAGACTTCATAAAGGATTCAAGTGAATGAAGAGTTTTCGTGGTCTTTGCATGGCCAAGAACAGATTTATAGAAAATGTAGATCCCCTTAGTTTAAATATTATCCCAAAACATTCACTGTCTTCCTCCTGCCTCACAACTCAAGCTCAGTCCTATTTATGAAAGGGGAGTCTCTCTGTCCATAAATGTCAAGCTTGACTATTTGAAAAATAACTAACGCTAGCATCTTTTAACTCACTTTCACTCCAAGTTCTAAAGTTCCTGTAATAAGGCATCTATAGGTCCTGATTTGACTGTTAGAAATGTCACCAACTAAAGCCCTGCCTCCAGCTAACTTGGGAACATGAGAAACCCTGTTATTCTCCTTCACTTACATCCATCTCTAAAGTGAAAATACTTCACTTTCTCCCTTCACCCATTGTCCAGTCTAGCATTTATGACTTTCAGAGGAGATGCTCCACTCTCAACGTTTTTGCAAAATTGACCCCTGAACTTAACATTTTTCCTTGTAGGGTCTTCTCTTCTTTCAATCTCCTTTCCCCTGCCCCTTTGAACATTTTTAAACATTTGTTTCCCCAAATTTTCATCTTCTCAATTTCTACTAAAATTTCTGAGGATTAGTCGAGATATTTGAATACTTAGCATAACTGATTAGCCCTTAATTAAATACTTAGCATAACTGATTATATACAAATATTCAGCCATAAAAAAAATTCTGCCATGTGCAACAGTATAGATGGACCTTGAGAAAATTGTGAAAATAAGCAGAGAAAAATATTGTATGATCTTACTTAGATATAGAATCTATGAAAATTGAACTCACTGAAATAGAACAGATCCGGTGTGCCAAAGGTGTAAGGTGATCATGAATGAACATGATCAAAAGGTACACACTTCTAGTTATGAGATTCTGGGGTGTAATGTACAATATGGTGGCGATAGTTAGCAATACTATACATGTGAAGGTAGCTTTTTTCTAGTAAGAATGTTTATGTGGGAGGTGATGGATGTTTACTAGATTTGTTGTAACCATTTTGCAATACATGCATATATCAAATTATGTTGTAAAATTTAAGTGAATCCAATGCTGTCAATTATATCTCAAACTTAGAGTTTTATTTTAAATACAATTTTCTAAAACATTAGCAACAAATCTAGACCATTAAAAAATACTCAGTAAAATGGAACGTCTTTTTGAACTGGGAAAACTAAAGATGACAATCACATGGTTGGAAAGCATCATATATTAAACTTGAACTTTGAGAAGTCTGCCTTCCTGTCTTCAAATCCAGTGCCTTGAATCACTACACAGTGTACAGAGCACTTTGCTGCTTCAGACAGTTCCAACTCAGCATTTTCAGGCAAAAAATAAGCCTCTAACTCCTTACCATGATATAGGGAAAATTTTTAGCATCTTAAGACTTTGGCTGACATTAATCACTGATCATTTTAAGTTTTAGTTTCTTGATCTATGCAAGAAGGCAATAGTCATCTTTCATGACCATCTCACCAAGTTTCAATGTGAGGAAAGATAAAACTAGATATGAGGATAGACTTGTAAACTATGAAGCATTATACAAATGCTATTTATCATTATCTTCTCCCCACACACACACAAATATACCTCCTTCTTAAAATGTTTCTTGATTAATACCAATACGATGCTGTGTTCCTTGCCTTCATAAATTTCTCCTCATACCCTTTGATTCTAGTCTAAAGCCCAAGTTATATAAAAACTTGACTGCATTCAATCTCTATTCCTCACTTAATTTCCTGTCCTCTCCAATCTAGCTTCCATCTTCACTATCCCTTCTGTTGATTTTTGTCATCACTTTTTTGCCTCACACTCTCCTTTTCTCTTTTATTCTTTTTTTCATACTCTCTATGCTCTTTGACACTTCTTGACTTTTTTCAAGATGATATTCCATCATCTTCCACAAGAAATAGCCATGAAAGAAATTTTATATCCCCATAAACTCTCCATGCCTTGCCCATCTCAGTATATCTTACTCCCAACCATCCCAGGGATAATCTTTGATTTAATCCCTTCATATCCAGTTCATTACCAAATTCTATCAATCTGGAAATTGTTTCACTCATTCTTTTCCTTATCACTTGCCAATTTTATTTAAATCACCATCTTTCATCCAGCTGGTAACAAGTCTCACATGCCTCTGTGGACAGAATCTTGGGCCCTATATGTTCCATTGTCTGTACCACAGCCAAAGAAATCATTTTCAAGAGGCCAATATTAGGGCAGGCCTTGCCCAACACCTTCATGAAATTGCCATTGCCCTGAGGAAAGAATCCACACACCTAACCCATTTGCAAGTATCTGCATGGTCCATCCTGCTCATTTTTGTCTTTCCTTTTCACCTCCCTTCTTTATTATTCTCCAACCATGTAGCCTTCTGCCAATGCTAGTGCTCCTGTAGTTCTCAGTCCATAATGATGCCCTTGATCCTGACCCTGAATTGTCTCTCCCAATGTTCTCCTTTGTGTGTCTTTTTTGTCTTCCCAAATTCTCAACACCTTTTGCCTGTATCACTAGAAAGCTTCTCTAGTTTTCCACCCCACTCAGTATATCCACCATAGCCACATATTATTCCCCTACTAATTAAACAACTTGAGATCTCATTGCTACCAGAAAAAATTAAAAACTACTTAACATGTTTACAAACGTGTTCTTGCTTAAATCATCAGTCTCACCTCTTACTGTTCCTCTACATATTTCTTTCTAGGTTCAGCCACAGTGGATAATCTGTCACTTCCTGAATATTTCTGTCCCCTTCCATCCTTAGCCAAGCTTGTGCTACCTCCTTGCTGAAGCTTCTCAACCATTTCCAGGGAGATATTCAGTGTTTTCAAGGAGGACTCATCAATGAAACAAACCACAAGAACATGTTCTGTGCTGCTAATGTACTAAAAGCACTCAACAGCCTGCTGAATGGACACACATACAAGGACTGTGACTTATTTCTATATTGACTCTACTGAATATGGTTGGTGCTCAGCAAGCGCTTTTAAAAACAGATGAATGACTGCCTCCTTGGAGAAACTTTCCTGCTGTTGTGAAGTACCACCTGATCCAAACAGACTTAGTTAGTATCTCTCAATTTTAAGCACCCCCGCAAATAAATTCTATGAACTCGTCCATCAATTTTTGTTACTTAGGTCTGAATAAAAACTTATTCAAGCATCTCTTCTAGCTCTCAGTACATCTGTGCACTTTCTCTAGGATTTAACATTGTAATTGACAGTATGGAAGCTCCAACAACGGAGCTCTTTTTATACTTGCTAACACTGTATCCAGGGATTTGCTGACTATTCTGAATGAAAAATTATCTTTCACCATTATCCTAAATCAATGTGCCCTCCCAATTCCAAACAGGTCTCTCCTCTTCTCTCTGTCCTGTGTGCTCTTGACACACCTCGATCTCACTGCTCATTTATTCTGTTTAAAATGCCCTCAATCTTCATTCCATTTTCAACTAAAATATACCTAGTCCCACTCACAATCTGCTTATCCAGTTGCCTACTGCCCCAATACTATAAACCTGCTGGACGTGAGTGTTCTGTCATTGTCTTGTGTTTATTTCCTGCCTTCTCAGTCAAGGTGTCTTCAAGTGGCAAAAGGAAGCCTGATATTTACTTTCCTCAAAAGTGCATGTGCTCCGTACCCAGAGGATGTTCAGTTAGTGCTGTCACCTAGTTGGTAGGCACGTCACCATCCTGAGAGAAACTTCAAATTAACTGAGTCCCCCAGTGGTCATGAAGGAATTAAGAAGATCGAGAACTAAATTCCACATCTTTGGGCTTCTACACCAGGATTCTATCTATTGGCTTATACTACAAAAATCTAGGTAGTGTGTGCTAAAACCTTTAATACTCAAGTATGCAATGGCTTGTCCCATCCATCCCCTTCATTCTCCTTTTTTCCCCCTGGACTACAGCAGCTGCTGCTACTGGGTTGGGGCAGGAATGTGAAGATGGAAGGAAGCAAATAACACTAAAAAGAGAAATGTGACCAACCTGGTCTGGGAAATTTAGCTAAGGTTTTCTTGAGATAGTTCCTAATGCACAGCACAGAAAGGGGCATAGGCCTGAACTAGTAATATTCTAGTAATAGCAGGATGAGAGGCCCTGAAACTTCAGAAGACAAAGTATTTGAGGAGGATAGGAAAAGTCTTAAAGATGTACAAGGATGTGTATTACAGACAAGTGAATTGGGAGGTAAGGTAATGCCTGGGACAAGGGTACGTCATGTGTGCAGCACCTAAGAGATGGACTCTTCTTTGACATTCCAGAACTCACTCCCTTGATCACTCCCCTGACCTAGCCTATTCCCCTCAAAGATGAAACACTCAGTCTCCTCTCAGCCTTTGGATATTCTCTCAAGTGATTATTGTTTTCAGGATGATTGCTACCACAACTCTGACTATTCCAGCTTTCCTGCCAGCCCCAGCTCATGTGGCCACTCCCTGGTCTGTGTCCTCCAGGTACCCTGTGCTAGCCAAGTGATCCCAGCATAAGTCTTCCTCCCTGGCTGCTTGCCTTTCATCCCATCTGTGCCCTATGTCCTGTGCTGGTCTTGCCTTTCCCCCCCAGTGACCAGTGTGCTCTCACCCCTCAGCAGGCAGCTCAATCCATTTCTGTAGGTTCCAGCAAAAACTGATGCAGGTTCCACACATGTATTTGTGAAAGAAGAGTGGGGAAGAGGGAGTTAGGAAGGGAAGGGCTCATTG